AAACCCTTACACCCTGAACCCTAAACCCTAAACCCTAAACCCTAAACCCTAAACCTTAAACCCTAAAACCCTAAACCCTAAACCCTAAACCCCTAAACCCTAAACCCCTAAAAATTAAACCCTAAACCCTAAACCCTAAACCCTAAACCCTAAACCCCTAAACCCTAAACCCCTAAACCTTAAACCCTAAACCTGTGGGATTTGTTGCTGTCCCACTCCGTGTCGTCCTGGTCGGGACTCCTTCGGCCACTCGCGGGGCTCCTCCCCTTGTCCAGACCAGTCTGGTCGCCAGCGAGTGTCCTGGAGACGATATCCATAAATGGGGCCCGGACCTGGGACGACAGGACCAGTTCCGGCTGAGGCCATTTGAGGGGTCGGAGCTCCCTGTTCCATACAAGCAGAAACTTCACAAAAGAGGCACCCTAAACCCTAAACCCTAAAAGAGGTCCTGACTCCGGCGTTCCGGGTCATGGTGGTCATGCTGGCGATGACGACCACCATGATGGAGACTCTCTTCTGGATGTGTGCAATTGCCTGACCATCCTCCGCCAACCGATTGCTGTCCGGGGTTTTGGGTTTAGGATTTAGGTTTAGGGTCGAGAGTCCTCTAAACCCTGCAAGCCCGAACACCCAAAATCAGCTACATCTGAAAACAATCGCAAAATCCTAAACCCTAAACCCTACACTCTAAACCCTAAACCCTAAAGCGTACACTCTAAACCCTAAACCCTCAACCCTAAACTCTAGACCTGAAAACCCTAAACCCCTACACCCCCAGCACCTAAAGACCTAAAGCTTGGGTAATGCCCCCCCTGTATCAGTCTGTTTTGGGGGTAGTACAGGATATACCACGAACACCCAAACACGGTAAAACCCTAAAGCCCTAAACCCTAAACCCGTAACCCAAAGCCCGCAGCCCTAAGCCGTAAACCCTACGCCATAAACCCTAAAGCCCTAAAGCAACCCCCAAAGCCCTGAAGCCCCAAAGCCCTAGGCCCCAATTAGAGAAAGAGCTTCGGGCTCGACAGACTCTGCCTTGGCGTGGGCGTCGCTCTTGAGGATGAGCTGCTCGAGGTAGCAGAAAGTCCTGCACTCGGAGGCTCATGGGCTTGGGGTTTAGGGTTTAGGGGTTACAGGAGTTTAGGGCATAGGGTTTAGGGGAGTTTGGGGTTTAAGGTTGAAGGGAGTTTAGGGTTTAGGGTTTAAGGGAGTTTAGGATTTAGGGTCTAAGGGAGTTTAGGATTCTAGGGTTTAAGGGAGTTCAGGGTTTAGGGTTTAAGGGAGTTTAGGGTTTAGGGGTTACGGCTTACTTGGAGGTTCAAAGGTAGTAATAAGTGGGGCTAACAGTCCCAGAACATGGGGTAGAATCTGTTTTAACTATAGCCCTACCTATAACACTACGAATAACTAATGTAAGGGCCTTAATAATTAGAATGGGGTTTTGGGGTGACTCGGACCAAAGTCTGAAGCGAACGAAGCTTAAGATGACTTGTGCATCCGTAGAATGTAAAGCTGCAGTTGAGCTACATAACTAAGAAAGGTTGGACAATATGTCATCGATGTCTCGCAACATGGAGTCATATTTTAATGACCAGTTGTCGAGCAGCTGTACAGGAAAATGAGCGGCGCGCGGACATTTGCGAGTGATGTTACGCGGTTCGGCAAAGAAGTTCAACACTTTTTTGCAACTGGCACAAGTTTCAGTAGGCGCCCAGATGGGCTCAAGAAGGTGCGTGTGAAAATCATTTTCGAGAATCAGATTTTGTTTATATCTTTCAGGGACATCTTTAAATTTAGTGATGCGATTCTTCGCCGCTCTGAATCTTTTGATGGG